CATGTCGAATGTTGTCAACACGAGCGAATACATTTGCTTCGCGTAAATAATGCGAAATATAAACCTATGCGCACGCAGCTATTGCAATATTTCGAGGTGGGACTGAAAATGTCCCACCATGCATTACGGTGCATCAAAAAGGTGGGACACTTTTAATCCTATTGTGCCCCAAAGAGTTAACCTTTGGATTTCTCGATTCCATTCTTTTAAAATTCTTCTCCCTTCGTTTGACCATTTACAGATCTCTTGACAGTAGATTTAGTGTCAATACTCTTTGCTCTTATATATGATACAGAAAATACTTGAACACTGACCGGATCGTAATCTAAATACCCGTTTTTAAATTTTCTATTAAAAATTCTATATTCGACGTTATTGCCCTAGTCACTTAATCTTTGGATTTTTTGAATTACATTCTTTTAAAATTTTTCTCCCTTCATTTGTCCATTTACAGATCTCTTGACAGTAGATTTACTGTCAATATTCTTTGTTCTTATATGTGATACAGAAAATACAATTTTTCGTAATTATTGGCATAACACCACTGTAAATGGACCCTAAGTTTCACGGTCGATCACGTTTACCCATGATGCATCTTCAGAAATTGGATAACGATGGAGAAAATACACCGTGATCGATAAATATCAAATAAAGTATCATTTTAGAATATTTTCCACAATTCAGGGACGAATTTCTACGAACACAAGTCACCCTGCAGATTCGAAGAATCGATGCTAACTCGCTTAAACCTCGGCTCGTAGAAAGATAGGAAATTCCACGTTTCCTGCGACAGGAATGATCGCGGGACGGTTCCGGGAAAGATGCAGCGAAACTCGGTGACACACCGTGTACGTGTACCGAGCTTGGTCTTGCGGAGCTAGCGGGTGGTCCTCATTATGTCGGCTTCCCCACCGCTCAGCCGTCCTATCTATTTAACGTATCGTTTGCCTTGGTAACCATCCAAATTGGCCCATCCCTCTCTATGCGCTGCCAGCCACCATCTCCCGATCTCACTCGTGTTCTCCTTAATTATTGGCAAGCCGATGTTTAATAACCGTCCCGAGTTTCTCGCGAACGACAGGCCGATCTTTAATAGAAAACACTCCTTTTCCGCGAACCATCGCGGGAAGTGCATCGTCACCGACATTGAGAACGACGATGATCCGTTTATAGCAACAAGGATGACGAAAATCCTCGGAATTTTGTAAAAATCGAGGAGTATTTTCAAAATCAGATCAATGTCGATGTACAACATGAAATTGGAATAACTAGTGCACACGTGGACATTGAGAATCCACTCGAAGAACAGAGGTCGAGATATAATAAAATAAGGTGCCAATTATTGGTAAAACAGATATAATAAAATAACGTAAGTAAATGTATAAATATTGTTAAAGTATATATATGACAATGCCATCGGTTGGCAGTATTCACCTTTAATTCTAATTCCAAATAAGAACACTCTCTTATCGTTCAACCGCCTTACCGATAGCACGTGTTTTATCTATTCCTTCAAGTCAAGTCGAAAATACACTGCAATCCGAATCTGAATAGCAGAATTTCTAAAAAATGTAAGTTATTTCGGCCCCAGGACCGAACAACCCAAGTGGATTTAGAGTGCTATATCAAATTGTACCCTATTCTTCCGCTATCGATCCCTAACGCTAAGAAATATCCAGCAAAAGTTGGAATTTTAATAAATTTGATAATCTGGTCTTGGTTTGCCTTTGAGGATCAAGAATCGAATCACGACTGTCCCTCGGGCTTCTCTATGACTGACCACCCAACACACACTCTTACAACGTACACCAAAAATCTCGCGAACGTTCTGAGAACTCTGTTTCGCATAATCGAGCCTAAATATTCGCTCATCGTTACCGATAATCGTTTAGATCTATCTGTCATTCGCACCGATGTCCATCCCAAATAATCCACTATATATACATATATTCAATTTAGCGAGTTATATCAAGGCGTACTCTATTTTTCCACAATTCGATCCCTAATACTAAGAAATATTCTCCAGAAGCTGGAATTGTAATAAATTTGACAATCTGGTCTTGATCTGTTTCTGAGTACCAAGAATTAAATCCACGATCTAGGACAACGTCGCCATCTATTTATTTATTCAAATAGCAGCGAAGATAATTAGCTGGTGGGACCATGGGACCAAACGTTTAAAAGATTACACGTGTTCGAGAGTACTAAGAATATTACTACCACATTCCTACTGATCCCTTAAAGAGAACACGGATTATGGAGTAGATTTTAATCGAATCTTTGCCCGTTTCGAGCTTCAGTCCGCTTGGCAAGCTGCTGCGAGTATCCGCGTCGATCCGAGTTACTCGAGACTGATATTTCCTGCTCTCGCTAAAACTCCATCGCGACGGAATTAATTCGCCGTTGGTGGAAATCCGCGCGCACGCCGGTTTCGTCACAGTCCCGTTTAATTTCGGAATCTCGATGGCCGCGTGATCGACGTTTATTCCTCCTCACCCTCGCCGCGCCACGGTTAACCACCGCGGGTTACTTATACTCCGATACTTATACGAGGCGGTGAATTCGTAAGTCAATGGCTCGTAAAGTTTAATGGCGGTTGTTAACGAAAGACGTTTCGTCCTGTTCGTCGGGTCCATCCGCGATTCCCTTGGACCCCGATCTCGATTTCTCGCAGAGAGAAACGCGGAAACCGATTGCCCTCGGTGCTGGCAGGGATTTGCAATTTTCGCGAGCCAGTCGGAGGCCGAAATCGCGACGCAGCCCGAAATCGGGATCTACGGGGTCTATGGGGAGGGTAGAGAGCGGACGAAGCGTTCGTAAATTCGGTAAGCTATAACCGGGCGATAACGCGCGCGTGAAGCGATTTCCCGGCTGGGAGCAGCGCGGAGAGCGATCTGTCCGGGCGAAACTATGTACAATTACCGTTTTAATCTGCAGTTTCGAGGGCCATAAATATCTGCGCTCATCGACACCGACAAAGAGAAGCGAGAGATGCCGGCGGGGAAGTTGGCGCGAGGAAATTTATCGCCGCGGCCGATTCCACACGGACCAGCGTCTATGAGCTTTTATTCCGCCGCGGTATCGACAGCCTCGATCGGCCGAGTCCTCTGGCTGCCGGCTTTTCGGCCGAGTCGCGAGACAATTAATCGCAGTCGTGCTTCATGCCCGGGGTATTCGCGTTTCCAGCAGAAATATAAAGGAGATTCCCCGATCCGCTGATCTCCAACGTAGCCCCGGTTTTTCGCTGGCCGATGGTAATCTGTAGATTGAAAACCGTGCACGCGGTGAAGGTTAGGACGCCATGGGACGGGGTGGCTGCGAATTTTTACGCTTTCTAACCAGGCGTGGGTATAAATAGAGCAAGGAAGAATTAGAATAGATTAATTTGAACGAAACGCGTCGAGGGTAACCTCTGTTGCCGCGACCATAACCGGGTCGAATCTATCGTAACAGTGATCGACCGATTTTTGCGATTCTAATACGATCTAACCACGGTCCTGCATCGTTCGATACCGTAGCAAATTTATCCGCGCAAATTCCTAGGCGAGAGTTCTTTCGGTGAGAGAAGGGATCCAGCGAGAAGACGAAAGGGTTGATGCACGGCGATGGAACGTGACGCGGAGGACAACGCGGATGGAAGCGAAACGGAATCGTTTCAATCGATCCCGGCCAAGATATCGATCCCCTTTGGCGGGCGGATGAAGTGGCAGCGCGAGACGGCGGAAGTTCGCGCGATGAAATTTACGGCTGCAGCCAATTCCGCGCAAATGGAACAGCATCTATGAGGTTTTATTCGGCCCGCTTATCGCCGCCACCTATCGGCAGGCATTTGTTTTTGCTTATCGGCGAGGCTACGTCAAGCCCAGGGGGGCCACCGTAAATATGACGGACGGATGCGACGATGTGATCTCAGCGGCGTGAGAACAAACGAGCGCGCCACACGGACCCGAGGCCCCGAAAATCTCCGCTCGGCTCGATCCAGGGGGATGAACGAGGCAAGAGCCAGCGCGCCGACAGGGGCTCCCCGTTCGACTGCGAATCGATATACCTGGCTGCGCGAACAAACGAAATCCACGAGGAAAGGGCTGCTCCACGAACAACGGCCTCTGCCTTTCTTTCTTTCTTTCTTTCTTTCTTTCTTTCGTTCTTTCGTTCTTTTCTTCCTTCGCCCCTTCCACGCCCCGCGCCTTTTCCCACCCCCTCTGCCAACCAGGCTTTCCGAGTTTTACGAGTCTCTGTGCCCGTTAAATTCCTTCTCTGTGTTCCCTCGTTAAAGCGGAATCTGGATTACGCGAGCGATGTTCGATGCTGCCTGATTACACCGTTTGATCGGGCAGAGTGTATCGATCGGAAG